CTGAGCAGCTCCTGGCAGATGATGCAGCCCAGGTCGTCCTCGTCCAGCCACACCGGGACCGCGACCGCCATGGTACCGAGGGGTCGCCCGCGCGGAAGTCTCCGGCCCGCTGGCTCCTCCCTCGCTTCCCTTCCTCCGCCTCCGCCACCTCCCCCGCCTCCCCGCCTTTGTTGTGCTTTTGGAGATGTCGCCTATTATTTAAAATTAGCTTCTTTTTACAATAGAGGAATTTCTTTTTATTTAGTTTTTTTTGGAGACAGAGGCTTGCTATGTAATTCGAGCTGATCTCGACTCCCTACTGTACCCAGGAGATCCTCTTGCCTCAGCTTCTCCAGTGCAGGATGGCAGTAGGCGCGCGCCCCTCCTCCGGGTGATTGATTGATTGATTGATTGATTTTTTGTAACAGGGATCGAACTAAGGACCTTGCGCTTGTGAGACAGGCGGTGGCACCTCTGAGCTAAATCCGTGGTCCTGATGTGGCTAATCTTAATTACACTTTATTTTTATTAGTATTTTTATTAGTAGTACCTGTTCGCAGTCCATGATGGTTTCATTCATGGTGAGGAGTTGTTACACGTTAACAAGAGCACATCTTAATTCCTTTCCCCGCTGCTGCTCAAAGTTGACTTGGCGCTGCTTCAACTCGGGTCTCCCGCCCGGGATAAGCAGCTCGAACCTGCTAGGAACCCGCTGAAGTCCCAAAGATCCCCTTCAGCTTACCCAGGCTCCTGCAACCCCAATCCGTGGGAGGAGAGAGCGTTCAATTGCTGAACTCCTTTATGGGTTCGCACGCACTAGGTGTCACCCAGACCCTCCGACAAGTAGTAAGGGTTTAAAGAACACGAGTAGGACATTTTGAAAATACCGGTGTTCTCCAGATGTTGTGCTGCAAACATGTAATCCCAGCTGTTCTGAAGGCTGAAGCAGGAGGATGCAAGCTCGAGGCCAGCCTGGGTCATTTAGCGAAAACTTGCCTCAAAACAAAAATTTTAAAAAGGTTAATGAGTATGTACCTCGGTGGTAAAGCACCCCTGGTTTCCATCTCTAGTGCTGGGAAAACGAAAATCACAACACGATGTCTGAGCCCTGTCGGGATGAGTCGCTTATAAGTGTGTTATAAAAGCTCCCCAGGGGATTCTAACGCGCAGTCCAGAGTGTGACTGACGCCCAGAGTTTTAAAATCACGATTATAATTCAGAATTATGGCTGCCCTTTGCGGTCTGGTACGGAAGGCACCCAATGAAAACCTGGAATTTTACCCTCGGCCCTTGTTGGGCTTGCTCCCAGGCCCCTCCTCTTGTTCCAGTCCTAGGCCTGTCACTCCCACAAAATCTCACAGCCAGGACAGCACCCAGTCCTCCCCAGTGACCCCAAGAGCGAAGGAACCTTCCAAGCTCGCACAGCAGTGACAGAGTGGCGGAGGCGGAACCTGCATTCTCAGATCTGCTCAAGGGAATTGAAAATGTCACCTGCTTTACTTTACTCCCCTTCTCCTGGGCTCAAAGTCGGTACCAGACTACTAGAAGATGGAACTCTTTGCAGAGCGGGAGATGACACCTACTGGTCATCAGCGATGTTCACCCAGGCTTCCTGTGGGATGGGGACTTCTCAGGCCCTGTGAAGCGCACAGAAGGGGTGCGCGCTCCTCCCACCAGCTGGCAGGCGGTTCATCCTCTTTCCCCCCAGCACTGGGTCTGTGGAGATGAAGCCCCTTTAAGAAGAGCAGGCTCCTATGAGCCCACGCCAGGACGTGCAGTATGGGAGAAAAGTAACTTGTGGTGCATTAATCTTGCTGAGATGCAAGGGTGCCTACTTGATGCTTCAGTATAATAAACGAACAAAATTGAAATCTTCCCAAACCCTATCAACCTAGCCCATCCTGACTGACTTGTGTCTTGGGTCTTGTTCCAGAATCTGGAGTAAACTTAGCTTCTTCTCTAATCTGTAAAGTAGTCTCGGTAGTAATACACAACGTACTGAAATGTCCTGTCTTAAAAAAACAAAAAATCAAAGTGGGGCCTAGAGACAGCACATAGAGCCCTATCCAAGCATGCATGAGGTTTGAACGGGGTTTGAACTCCAATACAGGGAAGACTACCTTTGATCTAAACCTCTCTCCAGCCAGTTGTCCCTCTCTTCTCTATCTCACAGCCAAATTTCTGAAAAGATGAAGTTAACCAGGGATCTTCAAGCTCTCCACCCCACCCCCACCCCCTGTAAAAGTTTCCTGTAAAGTCATGCAGTTACTACAGTGAGGGAAAGGTGGGAGTCCTCAGTTCTAGAAAATAAAAATATATTTCCATCAGAAATCTGCCAGAGCATTTGTAGTTCCATCCCGAGCTCCTGGGGTGGCCAAGGCAGCCGGATCATAAGTTCAAAGCCAACTTGGGAAGTTTGTCAAGACTCTGTCTCAAAATAAGGTTTAAAAGGGCTGGGGATGTGACTCAGCACTCCCTGTATTCAGTCCTCCATAATGAAAAGCCAAAAGAAAGAGGGAGAGGGAGTTTATTATTTTTTGTTTTCTTAAATTTGTACTTCTATGTTACTTTCTCTACTGAACTATAATCCCAGGTAATATATCTTATGCATGAAAGTCTCTTCTTTATCAGTGTCTCTTATTTAACCTTTGTAATACTTCTCTGCAATAAAAATATTTATTATGTGTACTGAAATTTTAACCTTGTTTTACTTCCTTTTTTTTTTTTTTATGACAGGGTCTCATTATGTAGTTGAGACTGACCTGGAACTCACTATGTAGCCCAGGCTAGTCTCGAACTCACAGTTATCCTTCTGCCTCAGCCTCCCGAGGGCTGGGATTATAGGTGTGTGCCACCATGCCAGGTGATCCTTTTTTTTTTTTTTTGGAACCCAGGATCAAACTCAGGTCCTTGTGTTTGCAAGGCAGCCACCAGAACCACTGGTCCCTGAATTTCTTGAAAGGTGCTTTTCTCTTATACCTTGAAATGCATTTCTCAGAATTTCAGAGCTGTGGACTGAGCTTGTTGAGTTTATGTAGAATGCTTCTGCGTAGCCTAACTGCTTTCACTCATCCTCACTGGAAAGCCAGTTGGTTAAGTCAGACTCATTTGCTGCCAGAGTCTGACATTTTTTCAAGTCAGGTAAATATGTTAATATTCATCCCTACAAGGCAGGAGTTTGTTTATATGGGGATTTTTAGCCATTGACTTGTACACTGATTGGTTGATGTGGCAGAGGCCTCAGAAATGTTGCTCAGGCTGACCCTGAAATCCTGGGTTCAGTGCATCCTCCTGACTAGCTGGGAATACCAGTGCCACTGCAGCTAGAGACACCGGGGCCCGGTGCTGAGTGACATAAGAAATGAAAAGGCCCTGAGTTTGTGTGCTGGAGAAAGTAAGGCATCACCACAGTCAGCAAGTCCTTTGCTTTGCACTTGCTGGATTCCTTCAGGAACAAAGCATCTTTTGTCCGGGAAAGAGAGAATTCGTTAAATGTGCTGTACAAATCCCTCAGTTTTATAACAAATGAATTCAAACATCCAAACTTAAGCCCTTCTGTCGTGTGTGTGCGAGTGCATGTGACCCTAGGAATGGCGGGCTGCTTCACCACTGAGTTATACCCCTTGCCCTCTTAATTTCTTATTTTGATACAAGGTCTCACTAAATTGCCCAAGCTGGCCTTATATTTGCAATCTTCCTGCCTCAGCCTCACCAGTAACTGGGATTGCAGGTATGCACCAAGACACCTAGCACTTTTTACACTTCTTATTGTGGTGAAATATACATAATGTGAAGTTTATCTCTTTAACCATTTTTTTTTTTTTTTTTGGTACCGGGGATCGAACTGGGGTCCTTGTGCTTGCAAGGCAGGCAATGGAACCACTGAGCTAAATGCCCAGCCTCTTTAACCATTTTTAAGTATACAACTCAACTGTTGTTTTGTTTTTAGACAGTCTCCCTATAGAATGCGGGCTGGCCTCAAATTCACCAGAACCCTCCTGCTACAGCCTCCTGAATGCTGGGATTACAGGGTCCAACACCATGTCCCACCTTTTGTTGGCGGTCGTGGTGGTTTTGAAGATTGAACCTCAAACATGCTAGGTAAGTACCCTACCACTCACCGAGCTACATGTCCAGACTTGTTTTTATTCTTGGACTTTTAAAAAAACATACATATGTGACTGAAAAGATAGTGAACAATTTAAAATTTTAGGGCTGGGATTTAGCTCAGTGGTTCCACTGCCTGTCTTGCAAGTGTAAGGACCCAAGTTCAATCCCCAGTACCACAAAATAAAACAAAAATTTGCAGCACTCGGGAGGCTGAGGCAGGAGGATCGCTGTGAGTTCAAGACCAGCCTGGGCCACACAGTGAGCAGTCTGAACTACATAGTGTCTCAAAAACCAAAAAATAAATACATTTTAAAAATTATTACATAAAAGACACATCGCTATTAAGCCTTCTCAAAATATTCCCCCTCGCTTTGCACACACTTATGCCACTGCCACTTTCTGAAGCAGTTCTAGAAGTCCTCTTTCGTAACCAGCTCAGTGTTCTGAAATGTTCAAAACATTTACCTTTCATGGTGGTTTGGTCTGGTTGGTTTTTTGTTGTTGTTGTTGTTACCGGGGATCAAACCTGGGACTTTGTGCTTGTGAAGCAGGCAAAGGAACCACTGAGCTAAATCCCCGGCACATTTACCTTTCTTTTTGATACCAGGGATCAAACTCAGGTCCTTGCGCTTTCAAGGCAGGCAGCAGAACCACTGAGCCAAATCTCCGATCTATTTACCTTTCATGGTAAATGATTTGGACTTTGGAGAAGAGCCAGAAGTCACATGGTGTCAGGTCTGGTGGATAAGGTGGATGAGGGCACACAGTCATGTTTTTATGAGTCTGCCTTTCTGTTGCATGGCAGTCGGCAGAAGTATTTACTTTTTTTTTTTTTTTTGGTACCAAGGATCGAACTCGGGTCCTTGTGCTTGCGAGGCAGGCAGCGGAACCATTGAGCTAAATCCCTGGCCCAATTTACTATATTTTTTATATCACACATTATAAAGAGGACTTTTGGAACTGTTTTGGAAAATGGCAGGAATGATGGAATAAGTGTTCAAAAGAGGGGGAGTATTTTGAGGGTTTAATGCTGTTTTTTAGTGTAACAGATTTTTAAAAATTAAACATTCAAGGGCTGGGGATGTAGCTCAGTGG